TTGTTGAGGGGAGCCATCTTTTAAGCCAGCCCCACACTGGCTCCTGTGTGGTGCCCCCTCCCACCCCCTGCCTGTTAGGCTATGTCTACACTCACGGCTTCTTGTGCAAGTACGACTGTTCTTGCGCAAGAATCTGCAGAGCGTCCACACTGCCCGCCTGCACTTGCACAAGTAAATTTACAGTACGGTGTGGTAAGAGGGCTCCTTGTGCAAGAGCTACGCTCTTCTTTTAACGTGTAAGCTCTCTTGCGCAAGAGGGCAGTGTGGACACTCAGCAGGTATTTCTTGCACGAGAAAGCCCTATGGCTAAAATGGCCATCAGAGCTTTCTCGTGCAAGAGCATTCACACTGCCACATGGCAGTGTGGACATTTTCTTGCACAAGAACACTTGCACAAGAAGCCGCCAGTGTAGACATAGCCTTAGAGGCAATAGGTGGGGGGAGTGCATGTACTCAACAAGACGAACTGATAAGCTCAGGCTTATCAATAGTTGTGTACATGTTGAGATCCCTACAGCATATTGGCATCTGTTTAAAAAGCAGTTTTCAATTGTAACTTAATTTTTTAACTGGCAAATTCATATTCCATTGTTTAAAATGCTACTTTATAACTTTTTTAATTCAAATTTAGTTTGAGTTGAGACAAATGTCAAATGACAGGATTTTATATTAAGTGTTTTCTGATGCCTGATCACAGTAAAAATGCTGCATTCGTATTTGGACCTATGTCACTGAGACAGAAGTGTACTTCATAAATGAGACACTGATCTATGAGAAGCATTTTTAAACTTCTGACAATCTTTCAAATTGTGGGTGGCTAGCAATGTTAATATCAAAGCATTTTTATTTTAGAGTGTACAGAAGTCTGTTGCAAGTGTTAGCACATCTAAGACATCTTTTTTGTAACAGTAAGATCTCCGCAGGACCTGAAACGGACACCTATAGAAATTCTGTTCATCCCCTTATTGTTTTGGGACGTAAACCCTCAACTTGATCTAAAACTGACAGATTTCTTTTGCAGCATGCTTGGAAGGTCACCACATTCAGGCTATTTCAGACCAAGGGAGGAGCAAGTTCGAGTTGTGGGGCTATCACAGAACACCCTGCCAGCTGCCACCTCTGAGGGAATCCAGCTTGGGTAGCCCCTGCTGACTGCAGGTATGGTAGTATGGGGTGGGGAGAAGCAGCCCCTCAAGTAAGCTGATGTCAGACCATTAAAGCGTTTGTATATCAAAACACATTAAACACCTGGAGTCTGGGCAGCCAGTGTGGATCCCAGAGTACTTGTATCCTAATCTCCCAGGGAGATGTCCTATTTAGTAAGCAAGTTGCTGCATACTGTGCCAACTGCAGGCTTTGGTAGGTGTAGCCCTATGTAGAATGCATTGAGGTAGTCTAATCTTGAGGTAACATACATGGAGAACAGTATCAAAGTAAACATCTGAAAGGAAGCATAGCAGCCTTCTAGCTTGCTGCAGAATGTAAAAATCTGCCTGGGTTACTGCTGTAAAATGACCAACCCACTGCAGGAATGTAGTCACACACAGGGACTGTTACCTCTGACTGCTTCCCTAGTCCATCACCGCTCCTGTGCATTGAGCATCAGTTTGTGCTTGTTTATGCTCCAGTTTCTGCAAAACTCCAGATTGAGGCAGAATCACAACACAGAGCGAGACAGATAAGTTGAGTCTCAGTAGTCTAGTAAGTTCTGTTTCTTGTACTTCCATATCGTCCCATATATGCACTGAACAGAAGGGTGACACATGACCTGCAGCCCTCCATACTACTTCTGAGGAAGTGGAACAGTTGCCCACAACTATCTTGAGATCCATCAGAGAAAAGAACAAAACCACTGACAAGCAGCCCTGACCAACTGGTGAGGGGCAATAATGCCTGTGATGTGCTGTATCAAAGGCAGTTTGTCTAATGTCTTATGGACCTCTCATCTTCATCACACTGACCGCTAAGTCTCTGTCCCAGTCTGGACCCAGGGTGATCCAAAGTTATTATGAACAAAAATATCTAGATAGCCTTTCCTAAAAGAGGAAATGGTTGTGAAAGCAAGTTGTGATGCTAGTTGATTTAGCTGGGATTAAGTTGGGAACTTATGTTTGAGGTGGCTTCTCTGGGGGAGGACAAGCAGTTTCTAAGATGTTGGGATGAAATAAGAGGTCAGAGTTGCTCTTCCCGAACATGAAAAGTACAACAATTTCTAGCTTGTGCTAATCTTCTGAACATCCATTGCCGATAGCAAAGTTTTACCATATATCAAATATTCAAATTGCATTAACTGTGCAGGAGAGAAGTATGAAGTAGTACCTTGTTGCATCCTATGGGTGGGGGGGGAATGTTTATTAAGGCTGTCAGCACTACAAGCTGTGTGATTCCCTTGCTTATGTGCATATGCTTGCACTAACTGAGTGTATTAATAGCTTCAGTAGACCCTGCTGAGCTGTGCCAAATAGGAACCTGCCTGAATCAGGTGGGTATATTCTTGACACCACTCAGCTGTGCCTCCTCTTCCCCTGCTAGTGGGGCTACACTGCTGTTTAAACTTGTGCTAATTCTCACTGAGCAAGCACTAAGCATGTGTACGCAATCAGGAGATGCTCCTGGCACTGACATATCTTAAGGCTTTTGTAGACTTGAGTGCTAGCTACAATAGAGAACATTAGCCAGTTACTGCCGTCCTAGCCCTAGTTCAAATGTGGTGTCACAATTATGACTGGAAAAGACTGCAAAAGATCTCATTCGGTTCCCTGCACTTACAGCAAGACTAATTATTTTCTAGACCATTTCTGACAGGTGTGTCTTACCTGCTCTTAAATATCTCCAGTGATAGAGATTGCACAACCTTCCTAGGCAATTTATTCCTATGCATAAACACCCTGACAGGAAGTTCCTTTATGTCCAGCTAAATCTTCCTTGCTACAGTTTTTAAGTCCATTGCTGCTTGTCCTTTCGTCCGAGGTTGAACAATTTTTCTCCCTCCTCTTTGTGGAACCCTTGTAAGTTCTTAAATAGTTATGACTGTCAGTCCTCTTTTTCTAGAATAAACCCAGTCTTTCATAAAAGGTCATGCTTTCTAGATCTTTAATCATTTTTGTTGCTTTTCTCTGGACTGTCTCCAATCTTTCCTTAAAATGAGATGCCTGGAACTGGACAGAGTACTCCAGTTGAGACCTAACCCGTGCAGAATAGAGCAGAAGAATTACTTGTCTTGTTTACAACATTCTTGCTAATTTGTCTTCGAATGTTTGCTTTGTGCATCATTGTTACACTGACTCATATTTAGCTTGTGGTCTCCTGTGATCCTCAGATCCATTTCCACAGTACTCTCCTCCTTAGGCAGTCATTTCCCACTTTGTATGTGTGCAACTAATTGTTACTTCCTAAATGGAGTGTTTCATTTGTCCTTATTTCATCCTATTTACTGCTGACCATTTTTTTAGTTTGTCCAGATCATGTTGAACTACAGTCCTATCTTCCAAAGCACTTGCGATCCCTCCTAATTTGTCAGTCTGAAAACTTAAAGGCTATGTCTACACTAGCAACTTCTTGTGCAAGAACAGGTGCGCAAAAACTTGCCTGTCTATACTGCACAAGCATTCTTGTGCAAGTAAATTTACAGTATAGTGTTGTAAAACAGGGCTTCTTCTGGAAGAGTTATTCGTCGTGGGGAGAGGAATAAGCCCTCTTGTGCAAGAGCTCCTCCACCAGAGGGCAGTGTAGACAGGCAACAGGAATTTCTTGTGCAAGAAGCCCTTATGGTTAAAATGGCCATCAGAGCTTTCTTGCACAAGAGAGCATCCATACTGCAAGTGCTCTTGCACAGAAGCACATGCCAGTGTAGACACGTTCTTGTGGAAGACTTTTTGCACAAGAACTGTTCCGCAAAACCGTTCTTGTGCAAGAAGCTGCCAGTGTAGACGTAGCTTGTGTACTCGCTCTGCTATTATCTAAATCCTTGATGAAAATATCTTAACTAGACCCAGACTCCAGGACCCCATTTGTTATGCCCTTCCAGCTTGACTAAACGACAACTTTTTTGTTAACAGTATTCCAACCAGTTTTGGAACCAACTTACAGTAGCTCTGTCTAGGCTTATATTCCTGGCTTATTTGAGAAGGTCATGGGAGACTGTCAGAAACTTTAGTAAAGTCAAGATGCGCCATCTTGACTGCTTTTTCATCTACAAAACAAGTCAGTGTCTTAGATATCTATATACGAATGAGTGATGTATGAGGAAATGAGCAGGAAGAACCTAAAATACTATTAAACTAATATTTCATAATCAAAAAAGCCATTGGTTGGTTACACACGTTACTTGTCCTTGACAAATCCATGCTGTTACTGATCATCTTATCTTCTAAATGTTTGCAAACCGATTGCTTCATTACTTGTTCCATTATCTTTCTGATACAGAAGTTAAGCTGACTGGTGTCTAATTCCCCAGGTTATCCTTATTTACCATTTTATAGTTGGGCACTATTTGCCCTTTTCCAATCTTCTGGCATCTCGTTGGTTTTCCATGACTTTTCAGTAATAGATAATGGCTCAGATATCTCCTCAGTCAGATCTTTGAGTATTTTATGGAGTGTTTGAGGGTCCATTGACTTGAAGACATCCAATTTATCAAAGTGATTCTTAACTTGTTTATGTATTCTGGCCTCTGATCTTACCTCACTTTCACTGGGATTCACTAGGGTAGATGTCCAGTTACCATCAGCCTTCTTGGTGAAAACCAAAACTAAGCCATTTAGCACTTCTATTTCTATTTTCTGGGGGTTCCCCCCCCTTTGGGTAATGGGCCAACTTGTTTTCCTCTTGTTTATAGTCGTAGAATGCTTTCTTGTCCTTTGTCTCTAATTTGTTCTCATTTTATGCCTTAGTCTTTCAAATTTTGTCCCTACATACTTGTATTTATATTCATCCTTTGTAATGACTTAGCTGCCACTTTTTGTGCACTTATTTTATTTTAGATAATTCAAGATCTCATGGTTAAGCCATGGTGGTCTCTTGCCATACTTCCTATCTTTCTTACACAGTAGAATAGTGTACTTTTGTGCCCTTAATGTCTCTTTTGGAAAAACTACCAACTCAAAACAATTTCTCCCCCTTAAGATCCTATGGGAAACAAGTCTACCAGTCCCTGAGTTTGCTGAAGTCGACCTTCTTGAAATCTATTGTATGTATTTTGCTGTTCTTTCTATCAGTTTGATTCTAAATATCATCTAATGATCACTTTCACCCAAGCTGCCTTTCCACTTCCAAATTAACCAGTTCCTCCAAGTTTGTTAAATTCACATCTAAAACAGCCTTTCCCTAGTAGCTTTCTCTGCCTTCTGAAATAAATTCTCCAATACATGCTGAGAACTTATTGGATAATCTGCATCCTGCTGTGTCCTTTCCCAACAGAGTTCTGGGTAATTGAAGTATCCCATTATCTCCAAGCCTTGTGCTTTGGATGATTTCTAATTTTAAAAAAAAGAAGCCTTGTCCTAGCTGTTTCTCCTGGGTAGCTAATCTGTAAAAGATCTCTACTATGACATCACCCTTATTTTTACCCTTTTTAACCTTACCAAGAGGCTTTAAGTGCCATATTTTATTTCCATCTCAACCTCAGTGTATGCTTTATATATTAAAAATGTAATAATTCCTCCCTTTCCCCCGCCTGTTCCTGAGCAAGCCTTCTATACCAGTATTCCAGTCACCTGATTATCTAGTCAAGTCTCTGATGCAAGTTGTCATGGGAGGTGGTGTGGTGGTGGGTTTTTTAAACATTTTTCCTGCCAGGTGACCAGAATGATGTAGTCATATGTTCTGGCTGTGAAAGCAGCCGGAGCAGGGATGCACAAAAGGGCCTCTGCAGGCTGGATCCAGCCTGCTGAGTGGGTTGATGCAGCCTGTGGAGGTCCTGCTGCTCCCCCCCTCCCCCAGGCCAATTAGGGCCTAGGGACAAGAGAGCTTGCAGTGCTGAGTCAGCCATCATGGTTGACTCCAAGAGCCATGCGCTGGAGGGCAGGGAGTCCCAGGTGGTTCCTTGCAGAACAAGAGAAAACTGTGTGCTCACCTCCACCCACTGTGATTGACTTTTCCAGGGACATGGGTGCTTAGAGGCAACAGCCAGCTGTTTGCCCCTGCTCAGACTTCACACACTCCCCCATCCACAGACCAATCCGGGTCTGTGAGCAGAGAAGTATGGAAGTGTACTGGTTCCACCCCTTCTGGGGCAGCCTGGGGCTACTTCAAAAATTTTTGCCTGGAGTATTGCCCACCCCTAAGCCAGAGGAAAGGGGGGGCATGTTGGCAAGCATGATTAGGGGGGCATCCCATGGCCGGGGGAGTGGCAAGCATAGCGAGTAGAGTGTAGTCCCCTAGTATTCATTTAATAGCATTTTAGGTTCTTCCTGATCATTTCCCTATACATTTCATTAGTATATAGATATCTAAGATACTGATTTGATTTTACCCACTTCCTCAGTTCTGCCTTCTCTTCAATGTAAAGCACTGCAGACCTATAAGAAGGACTGATCTGCTCAGATACTTAGGAGTGTCTTAATCTGTGTTTCTTGAAACTGTTAATCCAGGAGTCCATTCAGTGTAATTTTGCAATTTAGTGATAGCTCAGTGTTTCCAAAATCTGGTTAAATTGTGTGTTATCCACTTAAGATGTAAGGCGGGAAATCTATGCATCAATCCTGAAATAAATGGCATTCTTCTCTGGAAAAGGGGAAAAGGTGAATGTGTTAATCTGTGCTTTCCCTTGTACATGTATCACTTTTATCAAGCGAACCTAAATTAAATAGAAGGTCATGGTTTGAACTCTAAAGTTTTAAATGGAGTTGGACTTATTCTATGAAACAGGTTTGGATTGCCCAGAAGTATGCATCAAAACAAAACCTAAACATCTTGATGTCAAAACAATGTTTCAACTCTGGCTTTGTGGGCATTTTGCTAAGGTGTAAAGCAAAATGTAGCTTCACAAAGTATATGCAGGGATGGGAGGAGACCCTTCACTTAACCTTTAGCCGAGTGGTTCAAATTCTCCCTCTGTGATGTGGAGAAGACATTATTTTAACTTGTCTTCCACATCAAACTCGGTGCCCTAGCTTCTGGACTAAGATTCTGGTATGAGGCTTCCTCAGTCTCTTGGATTGTATCTCTTCACTTTTATAAGAGAAAACTAGTCATTGGAGCAGGGACTAGAACTTGAATATCTCACATTCTAGGTGACTGCATTAACCATCAAATGAGTTGTCCTCACTTTTTTCCCTAGCCCAGTGACTCTGCATAGTCACATGTAAGAACAGGTCAGGTGAGCTGCTCCTTCTAGTTGTCCTGTGAATATTGTTTTGGTTTTTGCAGGCTGCCCAAATTCGATCTGGGGATTGAGCTGGGATGTCGGACTCTTTGGAAAGATTAAGCAAAAGAAAGTTTGGCTCCAAACTAACTCTTTTGAATTGCTGGTGAACACAAGTATTTGCCCTGCTGTAATGGGGACTTTGCTTTCTAAGACTGCCTCTCTCCTTGTGATAGAAATGTAGCCGTGTTAGTCTGGGGTAGCTGAAGCAAAATACAGGACTTTGTAGCACTTTAAAGACTAACAAGATGGTTTATTAGATGATGAGCTTTCGTGGGCCAGACCCACTTCCTCAGATCAAATAGTGGAAGAAAATAGTCACAACCATATATACCAAAGGATACAATTAAAAAAAATGAACACATATGAAAAGGACAAATCACATTTCAGAACAGAAGGAGGATGCAAGTGGCTGTGAATTGACAATACTAGAGGTGGGGAGAGTGGGATGTTTGTGAGTTAATGGTATTAGAGGTGATAATTGGGAAAGCTATCTTGATGATGTGTAAGATAGTTCAAGTGTTTGTTCAATCCTCTTTAGAGAGTGTCGAATTTTAACATGAATGACAGTTCAGAGGATTCCCTTTCAAGTGCAGATGTAAAAGGTCTTTGTAGCAGAATGCAGGTAGTTAAGTCATTGAGACAGTGTCCTTTCTGGTTGAAATGGCAAGAAATTGTTTTTTCTTTGTGATCCTGTCTGATATCTGTTTTGTGGGCATTAATCCTTTGGCGAAGTGTCTGAGATGTTTGTCCAATGTACATAGCAGACGGACACTTTCGGCACATGATAGCATAGATTATATTTCTGGATGCGCAGGAATATGTGTTCTTGATCTTATAACTCACTTGGTTAGGTCCAATAATGGTATCAGCAGAATGAATATGTGGACAAAGCTGGCAACGGGGTTTGTTGCAAGGGAAGGTACCAGGGTTGGTATTAGTGTGCTATGTCCTGTGGTGGTTGGTAAGAATCATCTTGAGGTTAGGTGGTTGTCTATAGGAGACTATGGGTCTGTCTCCCAGAGTACTGCCATAGTTGTGGCTGAAGAAACTCAAGCTGGATTCCCACTTTAAAAGGAGACTGACTGCAGAGCAGTCTCTGGTAAGAGGGGGGTGGTGGTGGCTCAGCTGGTGGCTTAATACAAAATTGCCCAAGTCCTTGATCTTAAAATACCATAACACTTGCTTTTATATATGTACTACTGCTGAGATGGGCTTTAGAGAAATCAGACACACGAGTCAGGAGTTCATTCTAATTGATCTAATTTCTCTTGTATGTATCTGGGATGCTTAGAGCCTTGCGTACATGCCCTTTGCTGGGGTATAAACTTAAACATCACTTGTAGTTATAGTGCTGGAGAAATAAGTTGTAGCACTAGTAAAGGCTAAAATATTCTACTTTTTCTCTTAAATGCTGAAGTGCGGTCATTTGGTACTGAAGACCGTCCCACAGACAGACCTGCTCCCCCAAGAGAAGAGATTTATGAATACATAATCTTCCGGGGAAGTGACATCAAAGACATCACTGTATGTGAACCTCCTAAAGCTCAACATGCTCTGCCTCAGGATCCTGCCATTGTCCAAGTAAGAACTTCAATTTGAAATGGTGGTAAAAGTTTTGAGACAATGCGAGCATTCCAAAACTTTAACCTAAATCAAAAGATGTTTTGGTTATAAGGATGGTGATCTAAAACCAAAGGTCAGTGTGAATGTTTCCACGAACTTTCCTAATTCAAGTGGAAACACTTGTTTTAAAACCAGCATTTCCCTGGGGGGGTCTGTGGTCAGAGTATTGCATCATTGAAAATGTAATAAGCGGTCTAGATATCAAGGTGAGATGTATAGAAAAATCACTAAAGTAAATTTATTATTAAAGTAATGACTGTTTAACTATTTTCATAAATTGCCATCTTTGAGTACCTAAAAGCACTAAACTGCTGCTGGGAGGACAGTGGGGAAATAGGAAATACCTGCAGTTTCTGAACTCTTGTACCATTAGTGGAAGTGTACTTACACTATTTATCTTGTTATGCAGTCTTCACTGGGCTCTGCCTCTGCATCATCCTTCCAGCCACATGTGCCTTATAGTCCATTTAGAGGCATGCCACCCTACAGCCAGCTTGCTGCCAGCTCTTTACTTAGCCAGCAGTATGCAGCTTCTTTAGGTTTAGGTGAGTAATAGCTTGATGTTAATATTTGGAATCTTCTTCCTTCTTCCTGTCTTTAAGGTGTGGTTTCACAGCAGCTTGTACCCTAATGTTACTATTACCTACATTTTTCTGAAACACTGTGCTTTGTCTGCAGATAAAGCAGCCAGCCTTATGAAATGGGACTTCATTGTGAAAACGTAAAACTAAAAATCTCTGTATAGAGACTATCGTGTTTGAAAGTTCTGTGTATATAAGCTTAAACACTTAATGAGGACATGGTCTGTCTTTCTAGCTTAAAATGCCCTTCAGATATTGTAAAGTAAATTCTGAGTACCATATGAAAACTGTAAATGTTTAGCATCTCAGTACTGTTATAGGTAACCTCTTGTATTTCTTTCCAAGATCTCAGTGTTTCAACTACCTTGCCTTATTTGTGTACTTTTTTGCTTTTTCTCTTCTCCCCTCTGTCTCTCTTTAGAGAAATTGGTAAGCCCTCCAACATCAGCAGCTGCTTCCAGCCCTAGTTCTTCTCCGTCTCCACAACCTGTTTCAGAGCCTGACATGTCTTCTGAGCCTCATCAGCTCTCTTCCAAGGGTAACAGCAGTTTGAGGACTCCAGATATTTGGAAGAACCTGCATGGTGTTTGCAAAAATTCTATTCTGCTCTTTAACCCTCTGAAACTGAGCAGTATCCAATGTGTAATTGTAGCAAAACTGATACTAATTGTTCTTAGTCCTTACTTTTTCTGACCATTTATTAGAGCTCTGATTTACTGCTATACACAGAAATGATTGGAGGGCTAGGGAATGAGTGGAAGTGCAGTACAGCGGTTAGTGTTCAGGTCGCTGTACCAAGGGAAGACTGGCTGCAGAAGATGTTTGCTTGTTGGGTCATACCAATAGATCTTTAATGCCAGCTTATAGAAGAGCATGAAAAGTGCTTTTCTTTTCTGTAGAAGGAATGATATTTAGAGCCCTGCAAGTTTGCAGATCACTGCTTTATCTATGCATATCCATGGATCGCTTTTGGAGATTGGCTGTAATTCTAAGTTGTAGGGTAATTAATTGCTAATTAGGTGGATCCTTAAGGAAATATTAGCCTTTTTCTATTCATTGCATGAATACTGTATGTATGCATTACTGATTGAGCCTCTTGTTTCCCAATCTGGAATTGGAGCTATCCTAGCTGAACTTAAGACACGAAATATGGTGTGTCTTTAAACTTTTTGCACTGTATTGAATCCAGTTGAAAAGTAGGTTGAGTGGGAAAACTAGGCTGAGGAGCTTTGCAGTGTTTTCAGGGCAGGTAGTGTGGGTGCAAACCACATGAGCTGGTAGCTGTCATGAGTCTGATTAATCTACACTTCAAAAAATGCTTGGGTCAGACAGGAAAGTGTTCATGCTGTTTTGTTTCTTCCTCCCACACCCTTGGCATCTCTTATCCCTGCAGTGCCTTTTTTCTTATATTTAAAAAAAAAAGTGCTAGTACTCTGGGGCAAACTTGTTGAGCCAAAGCACTGGGGGCTGAAATGTGGTTACAGCCCCTTTAAGAGCTGCTGTGCTGGGACCCAGGGGGAAAAAAGCTGCACATCCCCAGCAGGCTTCTGTCAGGACCCGAGCCACATCAGGAAACAGGTGCTGGTACATGCGGGGGAAATCCCATTCCTTTTCTGTGGCTGGGAAAATAGGTGATGGTGTGCCATTCTGGGCAGTACTGTAAAACAGCACTGCAAGTCTGTATCCTATACAGTCCAACTCCACTAATCTTTGAAGTGATGCTTGTTAGTGACTACTGTCAGGTTTAATATCTAGACACATTCTAGGGATATTACTCCTAATTTATTCTTATGAAAGGACTAAGTGTATACTAAATTATTATGTGCCACATGAGAATCCTAGAAATAGAATGCAGAGTCAGTTTGCACTAAAGTAATGCTTTGGCTTCTGTAATACATTTCTTGTTCTTAAACTGAACCTGTTGCATGGAGGCAAATACCTGTCCTCACTTATGCAAAACTACCTAACATCTATTTATCCAATTATAGATTTCTATAAAGAACGAAATATGAAAGTATCATGCATTAATTTCTTTGCAAGCATAGGGAGTGAGAATTTGTTTGAACGCTTTCTAACTTTATAATATGGCTTGTTACACTCACACACAAATTCCTAAATGCCTCTGAATGGAAAAGGAGGACTTGGTTAAGGGTGAAATGTTGCCCTTTAACTCTCTGTACTGTGTGCTTTAACTAGGAAATATTGAAATACTACTTTTGTTGTACATGGTGTATTGTTTGGGGGGGGGGGTTCTTTACACAGTATCTACTTGATGCAGTGCCTTTATGGAAGAACTTACACTTGATACATCAGAACTCCTGGACCCATTACAAATATTTTATCAGTAGAACTGACATAGATGCCATATTAATCTGGTTCTTCTTATGAAAAGGCTGTGCATAGAAAAACTAAACTATTAATGCAGTAAAGGTTATGCAAATTGACTTGCAAAGACATTGAAAATGAAGCACTTTCAGGAAAAGTCCAGAGCAAGAATTAAGTAAAAATATACTTCTATAAAATTGTATACTAACAAGAATACCTACAGAAGACTAATGGGAATCTGCACATTTTGGCAGCTTATTGCATATAGAGTAATTTCTTAATTTGATATGCATATTAACTTTGTCCTTACTATTCTGATCCTTTACTCCCAAAGAACACAATGTATTACTATAAAGTTTTTGGCTTGGTTTATGGCCCTGAGCTCAAAGGCTAAAACTCGTTTCACTAAATGTTGGCATATCTGTAGTGAGATGCATGCAAACTCCCATAGCAAAATTATAGGAGTACCTAGAAGGTTCTACACACTTATTGTTGAAATCTGTTTTGTCATGGAGGTAGATGGCATTCAGAAGCAATGTTAGCATAATTCTTGCTGGAATGCAATTAAGAAAATTGGAATTGTATAACCCCTTTGTATTTCCAGGTGCTGGCTTCCCCTTGGTTCATCAAATACGCAAAAGCCCTATGGTGGAACAGGCTGTTCAGACTGGTCCAGCTGATAATATGAATCAAAAAAAGTCACCTCCGGCAAAAGTAGTTTCTGGGATCCAACGCAGTGGACTGCAGATTCCACAGAGTAGCAAGGCAAATGGTATAAGTCTTGTTTTCAAATGGGTATTTGGTGGAGGCTCCTTCAGAAGGATATTGAAGTAACTTAAACCAGTTTTTAAGCCTGCTTAAAGTTAATTTACCTTAGAAATTAACTTTATAACCCATGCATGCAAGAACAAAGTTGAAAGTCTTCCTTTTGCTGTTTCTTTGCTGTAGATACAGTTCAGCCACCACCTGTGCAAACTCAGGGCCAGGTGAATGATGAAAACAGAAGACCTCAAAGGAGGAGATCAGGTAGGCTAACTTGACCTTAAACATGCACCGTGGCTTGACTCCAATTCTCTGCTCTTAACCTGTATTCTCCACTATAACTTCAGATGTTTGAGCAGCAGTATGTTAATAGTTAGAAATAAAGGGGGTATATGAACATAAGATGCATCAGGCATGCAGAAGTAAAGCTACTTAACTCCATAGGTTGTTCTGCAAGCTCTCTGCAGAGCCGTGGAAAATTGCTCTTTTGCATCTCCCCAGGAACTCAGGTGTAATCATGTAAACTGTTGCTGTAAATTGGCATTTCCTTATAGAGGCTACCCCTCATATTGGAAGCACCTTCAAAAGGGATTTGAGGTGGCCATAACTAGCCAGACCATGTGTTAGCTCTTTTTTGTTAGCTTTGCTGTGTACTGTAGAGAACTATGAATGGTTCCAGCCAACCATGGGTTTCCTGAAATTTGCACTGATTTATGGGATGACACTTTTTTGATTCCTTGGGAAACTTTAATTGTTTAGATTCTCCCCACTCCCCTTCTACACACAGACTGCTTGGCACTATTATCTTTTATAGTAGGAGTTGAATCCAATATTGGCAGAGAAAGCTGGCTGATGTAATCTGGCTTAACATCTGAGAATGTTTTCCAAAAAGTTAAAGTATGGCTGTAATGTGTCTCTGCAGTGAGGATCAGATGTCTCTTTCAAAGGTGTGGCATAATCACAGGACTGGAAGCCTGAGTTCTAATCCTGGTTTTCTCTGGCTTTGACCAAGTCATGTAACTTTCCTACATGGTACCAAGTGTTTAAACTCTCCTGCTTTCAGGAAACAGGAGAACCAGAAATCGTTCTAGAGGACAAAATAGACCAACCACTGTGAAGGAAAACACAATAAAGTTTGAAGGTGACTTTGATTTTGAAAGTGCAAATGCACAGTTCAACAGAGAGGAACTTGATAAAGAATTCAAGAAGAAATTGAACTTTAAAGGTTTGTGTGAAAAAATTAGAGACATTTACATTTAAAAGGATGGCATAAAGCAACTTTTTGCCCTGAGAAACTGCATGATTAAGGAAGAATTTCAGACCTAATTTTAGGGAGCAAGAAACTGACTCTTCAGTGTGCAGCAAGAAAGTGTGTAATTAATCTTCTATCTTCAGATGACAGAGCTGAGGCAGGGGAAGAAAAGAGTGAGCCTGGTGTAGCAACTCAGAATGATGGCAATGCAGATGAGGACCTCCTTGGACCCAATTGCTATTATGATAAATCAAAGTCTTTCTTTGACAATATCTCTTCAGAACTGAAATCCAGGTAATTATTTTTCTGAAGCTCAGCTTGTCTTGCCCCTTAGTGCAGGCAGTGTATTAGTGAAGTTCCATGCTAGGCAATGCCTAGCCATTTATAGGAACACAGATGAATGAGACACTGCACCTTTAAAGAGTTCTTCTGAAGCTTTGCCTGAAACAGCAAAGCTTTTGAAAGGCATGTGGCCCTAGAATTGGACAGCTCGCTAGACACTACTAAACTTTCAAAATAGTGGTAACTGAGCGCCGAACAAATTGCAGTCTTGGTTTTGATTTACCTGACTTAAGCTTAGATGTGAACAAGTGCTTAAAGATGCATGCTTTGGTATATCAGATGTGAACTCAGACATCCAAATGGTGAGCTACTGGAATGCCAAGCTACAATATCTTGACAGTCTAGAAACTTCACGTTCCAAATATCCTTTTTACCCACTCAGTCTTTGCCATTTATGCCTAAATCTGTTCCATTAACACTCTGAACAGTTGCTTGCTGGTTTTGGTTTTTTATTTTGTGTTAAATACACAAATGCTGCAGAGTTGTTTTTTTTTTTTTGAGGGGGAGGAGCTTAAATTTAAAACACTTCAGTTTACTTTCTCTTATACTACTATATGCTGTACTTCTCTGGTTAACGGTTGCCTTTTTATCTATTTTGCACAATTTATATAGGAAGAGAACTGTTCTCCTCAAAATTGTTGGGGTAAAGGGAGCAGTGGCATGGTGTAAAGTAGAATACATTGTAGAAGTCAGATCTTTTAATGCTTTTAATTCAGGATATAAGTGTGGGCTTTGGGCAAAACTTCATTTTTCCTTGCATTCTCCTTTCTCGATCTAGACTAAGTGCCTAAATACAGGAACTGTTCTTGCACAAAGCTCGCTTACATGAAGAACCTATTTGTCAGCACTCAAGCCCAACTTTGATAGTTTCATTTTGTTGAAAGTGGAGGTAGGAAATGTAATCCTGGAAGGACAGGATTATTTACAGTAACAAATACCAGTGGTAGAGCAATATACAGTTACCCTCTTGTCGGGGAAGGAAGAATCCTAGTATGTCATGATTAAAAATTAGTGGAATTGTGCTAAAAGTACTGATTAAGTTTCAAAAAACAGGTGGAGAGTGTACTGCAGCACTATTGAAACTAGACTATACAATCCCTGTAAGACATTCTGGTTCCAGCTACCAGAAACTAACAAGAGATGACAGTTGAGCTAATGTGACAAACCCTAATCATAAGGGTGCAGAGAAAGTAGATTGCAGCATATTGGTCTTTCTAGATAACCTCTGTAAAACAAATGATTTCCTGACACAAGTGGCCCGAACTACCCGAAAACAGCTTTATGAATAATGGTAATTCTTGACTCAAGCATAATGCAGTCTTGTTCAGTTCCAGGCGTACAACATGGGCTGAAGAAAGGAAGCTTAATACGGAGACATTTGGCGTGTCTGGCAGGTTTCTTCGTGGACGTAGCTTTCGAGGTGGATTTCGAGGTGGTAGGGGTAGTGGAACAGCACAGCGAAACCAGACAGCTCACAGAGCTGGTACTGGAAGAGTGTAATGGAGGCAAGTTTTGTAACACATGCTATCTCTAAATCTCTGTTCAATTTTATATTGACTGCTAGTTTTGCAAGCAGATCAAAGGTGATTCCTTAATCTTTTTTTGGATAGTAATTCCCTGTTCTAATATGAATATAGCAGTAAGGATTGGGAATGTAAAAGATTAGTTGACAGCCCAATAAGCCTAGGCTTATCAGGTAGACTTATCCATAAGTCAACTACTCACATTCCCTCCTCTCCAACCTTTCTGCCTCTATCAGAGGAGCGGGCAGCTGGTGCTGGGGAGCCAGCTTAAAAGCCATTTTTCCCCCAGCACTGTCTCTGGGGTAGGAGGGACATGGAGGCACCAGTGCACCTCTGCCTTTCAAATGTAGCAGGAACCTCTGCTATAAAACAACTTAATGGGGGAAGAGAGGGAGCTTCAACTGTCTCATTAACTGGGTACATACCATCTCTGCATCCTGTCCCAAGGAAGTTTTTGGGCACCTTAAAATGACTGCTGCTTGGAGCAGCTGAATCTGGAAACCACAAGAGGAGAGGCAATTCTTGATTTAGCTCTAAATGGAGTGCCATTTCTGGTCCAAGAGGTGAATATAGCTGGACCACTTGGCAAGTGTCCGAAATATAATTAAACTTGCATGTCCTTGTGGTGAGGCAAAGACCATAGCAGCTCATTACTATGGCACTTAATTTCGGACAAGGGACCTACACACACTAAGTTGAAGTGCCAAAAGTAAAATCCTTGAAAGATGCATGGAAACTTTCAGACACCATAATAGAGAATCACCTTAAAGGTATACTCCAATTTAAAAAACACAGGAGAACCAAAACAGTGCTACAGTGGCTTAATCAATTAAAGGCATAGTTTAAAAAGTAGAAGTTAAATCCTAGTGAGGAAAATAAAAGCACAAACTATTAAATTAAGTGTAACTTTTAATTGGGAAAGCCAAACAAATTGCAAGAACTGCTAGCCAAAAACTCAAATACTAAAAAATGTCTAGTATATCAGAAACTGGAAGGCTCCTAAACAACCAGTGGGGCCACTGCATGATCAAGATGCTAAAGAAGCATTAACAGATAATAAGGTCATTGCATAGAAACTAGTCTTAGATTGATATTTCTGAGAGCAGGTTTGAGGGAAAGGTGGGATTGGGCTCCTTTATTTGATACCTAATACTCTTTCTCTGGCAGGCTCTAAAATCTGACATGAAGATGGAAGATTGTGTACATAAGATGAAAATGAACTGCTGCACCAGTGTGTGAATAAGAATAAACCCTTGTTTACAGTCTGAAATTCAATGACAGAAGTTCATGTACTCTGCTTTGTATTTTGGGCTTCAGCTTCATTTCAACCAGTGTCAGAACTGGAATATTTTTGGAAGAGGGAATTCCATTCAGGGTTATCTTTGAAGTTTTTATTTTTTTTAAGTGCAGGTTAACTTAAAATGTGGTTCTTTCTGGGGCTCTAAAAGGTTGCTGTAGACAGAATAAAGCAACTCCCTTTCTGTTCCCTGAAGATCATGCTATTTTAACTTTCTTTAAAACAGAACAAAAGGTCACAAAGTAAACCGTCAGCTTGTTTGTTCTGAGCAACCAAATGTAACCTTTGGTGCTGCTGATGTCTCATTTAAGGCAGCATAACTTCAGTAGCATGTGGTGACTTGAAATACAGATTTCCGCTGCTGAAGGGGTTGTGTATAGTGTGACTTGAGAATACTGGGTGGTGGCTGATCATGTGATAGTGCAAATAACTGTACAAATAACTTTCAGAGGTACTGCATGATTCCATGTGATGGCACAAGATCAGTCAGGGCTGTCTGAAGTCTGTAGTGCTCTGCGCTCCTTTGGAGAAAGGAGCCCAAAGCTTCTAACTAGCTGGGGTCTATGTGGGAGTGCATATATTCTCACTCATTTAAAATAGTGCTCTAGCAGCAAGTGATTTCCTACATGCACTGTTAAGTACTCTACATGTTTGTGTATGTGCTTTAAACTAAGCCAGAATAAAGGTGGAGGAACATCTCATAGTAAAACGAGGATGACTTGCTGCCCCCCAGTAGTACCTCATTGTGTAAACAGTATATGCTGCAAACAGCTTTATGGACAGTATACAATGTTGCTTTCCCTAAACCTAGGGAAGGAAGAGCCCATATAATGAAGCTTATTGGATGGATGTTTAATTTGTCTTTAACCCCCCCAACTGTAAATAGTTCTTGTTAAGAGGGGTGTGTGGGGCAGGAGTTATAAACTTGTTTGCATGAATAAGTGGGTTACGCTCTTAGTTATAGGCATGCATTCCTTTCACAGTTGGTGGGGAATTTTGTTGAAAAAGCACTTTGATAACTGAACCCATTACATAACCAGAATTTTAGTTTGTGCATTAAGTTACTGTAAGAACTTGGCTTTATTTTTGTTAATGTCATTGCTAAATATTAGAACAGAGCAGCCCCATTGCTATGGAGTAATGTAAACTGTAATAAATATGTATGTTTAACACTTTCCCATTTTTGTTCCTGTAAATGGCTAATAATTTGCAGCAGTTGTTGCCCAGCAGGTTAATGGCTGGAACCTCTGGTTTGAAATAAGCCAGACATGAGTACATAATGAAGGGTGGGCTTGGTGTTAATTGCAGCCAGAAGTTGGTAACTTTATTTGTATAAAACTATGTAATGGGTCTGTAATTCTTCCACAGGTTAATATTTCAGGCCTTTCATGTTAGATGGCTGCTGCTTACTTCAGTGGCAATGAAGACTTTGGCACTTGTCTTATCCTTGGAAAGTCAGCTGGACTGTTTGTCTTGGATAGGCAATTAGATGCTCCAGCGTCATGTATTGGAAACCATTAGTTCAGGTGCTACATACAACACTTCTCTCTGTACTAGCAAGGAGGACAACTGACTGGATCAGATTAGGGATGTGAATGGTTAACTGGAAAGCATCAGTCTTAGCAGGTGATCCTGAGTGCTTAGTTAACCAGCATCCTACCCAGGCCTGTGGAGTGGGTGGGTGGCCACTCTAGCCTGGCCCAAGTGGCCCACTACACTGCCCCTCTTTCATCAGTTAACTAGCTAAACAGGATTTTATATCCATAGCTCAAATATCCATTAGTCATGTTAAGACAGAGTGGAGAAACTGCTATTTTTATTAAGCCAAAACCTGACAAATGATAGCTGACCCCTTCAGGATTCTTCATGCAGCTACCTTGGAGCAAGATTATCACACCAGATCAAATCTCTCTAGTAAGAAGACTGAAGAAATTGTTGCTTTCATGTACTATAAGGCTTGGTGAACATCTGATGTGCCCTGTAGTAAGCTATGAATGTTCTGGACTGGCTTATGCTAAACTTAGCAATAAACTCCATAGTCTTGTATAAGGACTGGCATTAATTACCTCTTAAGGTGAAAAATTTATGGTTGAACCCTTTACTGTTTGATACATCTGCTACTGTGTATTTCAGCATATGGATTATTTTACTTAACGAGCCAGTTACTCTAAACATTAAAACCTTCTGCTACCTGTACAAACCACTTAATTGGTCAGCTGCCTAAAGCTTTCTTAGGCTTTTTTTTTTAAGAAAGCAGGATATGTCTTCAGCATTCTAGGTCTAGAATTAAAACTTTAAAATACTAATGTAGGTAGTTATACCTATCACTAAAATTATAGAATTTTGCTGCTAGGCTCTACATGTAATCCTTTTACTAGATGTTTGATGCAAAAGTGCTGGCTTTGGACAGTTCCTAACATCTTGAGCAATCTGTCTTGTGTATCCACCCTTGTCTAATCTAAGGTACAGTCCTAGCACTTGCTTCTCTTCCCTAGCTCACCTCCACAATTGAAAATGATTTTTAGGCCACAGGAGCATAGAATTAAGGCACCTAGAGCCCTGACAGCAGTCTTCCTAAATACTAAACTGCCAGGTCCTTGGTCTCTTCTCTTCTAGTGCCTCACGCTCAAAGGTGTGAAAACCCTCTGAGTAGTTCACCGTGAGGGACATGCTCTATATAGTTTGCACACCAGAGCTTTGGGGTGGGAGGGTTAGTAATAGAAAAATCATAGATTCAAAGATGAAATAAGGAAAAGCAAGTATAGGCAACTTCTACTGGTAATGATCCATTTGTCAACTGTCACTTCCATGCAGTGTTACTTGTCTGGTTTTGCATAAGCTTCAGTATTGGAGGAACACTTCTCCTGCAAGGTGTATTTGAAGCTATAGTATGAGTCATGAACATAGTATTCTATATACATAAATGTATAGCCTCATTCATATTTCCCTCAGACTAAATTCTCAGGGGAAAAATTCTCGGAAAAAACTTCCTTGGCACATTGCTTACACTGTGGGGGTTCAGACTTGCTGTTCTCTCTTTGGGTAGCAAGACCCTGGTTTTCAAACATGTGTGAAATACAAGTTTTCAACATTAAGGGAGTGAGTGGAGTAAGGCTTGTGTATTGTGATTATGGGAGTTTATTACATCAATTTCAGGCTCTTAAGTTATGTGTCTACACTAAGGGATAAGGTCAAATTAAGACAAGCAACTTAAGGTACTTCAGCTACAGAATTAATGTAGCTTAATCTCTACTTTTGGTGCTGTCTATGCTGCAGGAAGTTGAAGGGAGAACACTGACAGTCCTAGTCATTAACTTTCCAAACCCCAGGGCTGCTGGATGGTAAGTGGAAGAAGCATTTGCGAAAGGAAGGCACCTCTTCTGATTCTAGAGCATGCAAGCAAGAGTAGAGTTTGTATAGACATTACTCCACACACCCCCTGGAAAAACTAACTGGCTTTTTTTTGTTGCTGTTTTTAGATGCTTGTCACAAAACAAATTTTCACCTGAATTAATGGAATCTGTTTGTCAATCAGTTTGCACAAATTTCTGTATTTTGCAGCCAGGAAATGTTTCAACATAATGTTTTCAACTAGTTGCAACAATTTCAGTCTTTTTCTGAGAGCTCTTTGATTCCCGTCAGGAGAGCTGTGATCTCCATCTTGAATTTGTCCAGTTATGATAGAACAAGTTTGAAGAGTTGAAAACATGCTGGGTGGGGTATGTAATGTAAAGGAATTGGATAGCATCCATCCACTACTGAACTTGGCTAAACTGACGAGCCACAAGGTTAGTAATGGATGGATGCTACCCAATTTCACTAATGGCTAGCCAGTAATGGAAGTGGGGGCACTAAAGGGTTCAGTAAGCCTGTATGTAAGAAATAATGCTTGTACTACAGCATCTAAACTTTCCTTCAGACAAATCATGGAGACCTGAAAATATGGGCAGCAGATAGTGATGTTTGAGTCTGTAGCCAGCCTAAAATAATAGCATAAAAAAGTATGAGCTATTCCTACTAACTTCAAGGTATTGTTAATACTGAACAAAAGGAGCCATCCATCTCAAGTGGATGGAAAGGAGCCTTTTAGTAATAGGTTTGAGATCTGGGTTTTTTCACTTCTCCCATGGAGATCAGAATGCTTTTAACTAGCTGTGTCTATTGGCCATAGCTGCTCCTTTGGTTATCTTGAGCCCTTCACCCCTCTCCTCCCCCCAGGCCATAAAGGAAGTAGAGCACTAGATCTGGAAGGGACCTCAAGAGAGGACATCAAGTCCAGTCTCCTGCCCTCACAGCAGGACCAAGCACCGTCTAGATCATCCCTGATGTCTATTCAACCTTCCTAATGTCCAACCTAAGCCTCCCATGCTGCAATTTGTTCATTGCTTCTTGTCCTATCATCAGAGGCCATGGAGAACAATTTTCTCCCTTAACCTTGTAATACCCTTTTAGATACTTGAAAACTATCAGGTCCCCTCTCCGTCTTCTCTTTTCTAACCTAAATAAGCCCAATTCTTGCAGTCTTCCCTCATAGCTCATGTTTCCTAGACCTTTAATCATTTTTGTGGCTCTTTTCTGGACCTTTCCAATTTTTCCACCTCTATCTTCAAATGTGGTGCCTGGAACAACTCAATATTCCAACTGAGGCCTAATCAGTGCTGAGTAGAACAGAAAAATTACTTATGTCTTGCTCACAACACTCCTAACAGTGTCACACAACTGTCATATTTAGCTTGTGGTCTACTATGACCCGTAGATCCCTTTCTGCAGTATTCCTTCCTAGATAGTCACTTCCCATTCTGTGTGTGAGAAACTGATTATTCCTTTCTAAGTGGAGTACTTTGCATTTTTCTTTATTAAACTTCACCCTATTTATTTACTTCAGACCAGTTTGTCCAGATCATTTTGAATTATGATCCTCTCGTCCCAAAGCACTTGCAACCCCTCCTAGCTTGGTATCTGCAAACTTAATAAGCATACTCTGTGCCAATATCTAATTTGTTGAAAATATTGAACAGAACCAGGAGAGACCTTTGTGGGATCCCACTTGTTATGGCCTTCCAGTACAATTGAACCATTAATAACTACTCTCTGAGATAGGGATGTAAGCAACTAGTTCAGTAGCTAGTAAGCATATGTTTATCAGGTAGTTGAGTGATTATTTGACTAGTCACTTTTCCCCACCTCCTTCTTGCTTCTATCAGAGGAATTCTTTAATTATTTGCTCCATTATCTTCCCTGGCACAGAAGTTTAACTGGTCTGTAGCTTTGTGGGTTATTTCCCTTTTTGTAGAGGGGCACTATAGTTGCCCTTTTTCAGTCTTCTGGAAAATCTCCCAACTTCCATGATTTTTTCAAAGATGATAAAGGGTCAGATACCTCCCCTGTCAACTCTTTGAGTATTCGAGGATGCATTTCATTAGGCCCTGGTGACCTGCAGACATCTAACTTTTCTAAGTAATTGTAACTTTTTTTTAACCTTTTAAACCTGCGTCATTTCCACTGCCACTCACTGTTAGGCATCCTGAAACAAAAAGTCATTAAGCACCTCTGCCATTTCCAAGTATCCTTTTATTGTTTCTCCCTCTTCACTGAGCAATAGGTCTCGCCTGTCCTTGGTCTTCCTCTTGCTTCTAATGTATTTATAGAATGTCATCTTGTTACCCTTTGTCTCCAGCTAGACTGAGCTCATTTTGTGCCTTTGCCTTTCTAATTTTGCTCCTGCATACTTGCATTATTTGCTTATATTCATCCTTTGTAATTTTGACCTAGTCTCCACTTTTCTCATGACTTCTTTTTGATTTTCAGATCGTGTAAGATCTCATTAAATCAAGGTAGTCCCTTGCCCTATATTCCATTTTTCTTACGCAGTGGAATAACTTGCTGCTTTTTCAAGTGCTTGCTTACGTTCATTCTGTCTAGGTGTGCGTGTGCCCTGTGCATAAGTTCTGGAAGCTTTTTGCCCTTAGCAGTACCTGTTTGGCCAGCAGGGGAGCCCCTTGGAGTGGTGCCGGTATATCCTAGCATATAACCCCCTGCTGGCCCTCCACCCTCTGTTCCTTCTTTCTGCCCCTGAGGGTTGCTGGAATGCTCTGCTTGCCTTTGAAAGTGAGCCCTTAGCTAACTTATGTAAATAGTTTCTCCTTAGGAATAGTTAGTAGTTGATTATTAGTAGATAGTGTTGATAGTAGTTTCCCCACTTCCTTCCCCGAGGAGGGCATGCCACAGCCCCACGGCTTCAAACCCTGTCAACAGTGCTCCCAACCCATGCCCTGCAGAGATCCTCACAAAGACTGTTTGAAGTGCCTTGGTGAGGGCCGTTTAACATCTGCAAGTCCTTTAAGCTCCATACATAGAGGGAGAGAGACTCTAGCTTTAAGCTCCTATTAATGGAGTCAGCACTTACACCCCCCGTGCCGGAGCCAGCACTGTCGGTAAGGAGTGCACCGGCGGCGACTGCAGAGATGGAGCGGGTGCCAAGGCACATGGTGCCTTCCTGGCACCAATCAGCATCAATCGCTGGTGCCATTGACTAGTAAACAGGCGTGAAGCAAAAGGTCGCTGTGGAAGCGGGACCAGAGTGCCTGCCAGCGGGAGCCAGTGCTTCAAGAGCCCAGTAAGATCGGGAGCCCAAGGGGGCCAGGACCTGTCCCTGGAGGAGGTCCAGAGGCCATCCAGGCCAGAGATGCTCTCTGCAGCCTGGGAGCTGATGGAGCTCACGGCCTCCCCGGGCCCGGCCCCATGCAGCACAGAGGAGCATGCAGGCCGCAAGAACCAGGCTTGGCACCGCTGTCCCCAGTGCAGGAGGCACCATGGAGTAAGGCACCTCTTCCCGCAGAGTCAGCACCACTTCTGGTGGCACTATGTGCTCCGGCACCGGAGTCCCATGCCATACCACCCCCACCGGTACTGCCTATACCCCATAGAGGGAAACCAGTTGCCATGGCTCACCATGCGGCGAAGGGGGGACAAAGGTCTTCTGTACCACTGTGCATCCACTGCCAGGTTCTGCAGTAGGTCAGGGGGCTTGCCAGAGGTAGGTATGGGCAGTAGGGCCCTACTCCAAAGAGTAAGGAGCCAAAGAAGTTGGACTTCCTGGGGCAGAAGGCATATGCTACGGCAGCGCCGACAACTGAGGAATGCAAACCAGCAAGTGATGCCCTTCCACTGTACGTACCATTTTTGGGTGGTGGACAAATT